CTCCTTGGCTTACCGATTGCCTCCCTCCTGCTGTGTCCTCATGTGATTTTTCTTCTGTGTGTGAGCACAACCCTGGTGTCTCTTTGTGTGTCCAAATTTCCTCTTCCTGTAAGGACATCAGAGTGGATTAGCATTCATCCTTACAGCATCATTTTAACTTAATCATCTCTTTAAACGCCCTTTCTCCAAATACAGTCACATGCTGAGATACCAGGGGTTAGGATTTCAACATATGAATTTTGGGGGACACAATTCAGCCCATAACCCTGTTGAATAATTGGTTAATTTGTAGTCCTGTGGAATAAGTTCCCCCTCCCATAGGCAATTACCTGTGAGTTGTCACTGACACATTCCCGGATTTTTGGAGTCATTCCATAAGGTATGCTTTCTTTGGTTTTATAGTTCAAAATACAATGTAAGATGGTGTGGGAGATCATGGGGAGAACAGTGTATCACAGAGAAGAGACATAGTGGATCTCTGGCAACTTGCTGCACTGATGGACAGTGACTGCATTGGGGTATGGGTGGGGACTTGATAATATGGGTAAATGTAGTAACCACACTGTTTTTTCATGTGAAACCTTCATAAGAGTGTATGTCAATCATACCTTAATAAAAAATTTAAAATATATATATATAAAAATACTAGGAAAAAGCAAAACAAACAAAAATACAATGTAAGACATAGAGAAGACTGTACTTCCTTAAACAATGAACAAAAATGTGTCATCTCTGTATTTGGTTTTCCATCTTTTAAAATTAGAGGTGAAGCCTATATGACCCACAGGAAACTCAGGGGATTATAATCTTATCTTCTAGTATTATTCTCAATCTGCAACTTCTTGAAGCTTGGTCTTCTCCCATTGCTCCTCCATGTCATACAATTTTCTTTGAGTCTTTTCTGTGCCAAATGTTGCCAAGAACCTGGCTTGTTAGGTGTTTGACAAGGGTGGGTAGCAGATATTGGGGATAATTGCAGGTTAGAGAAGATAACTGGCATATGGATTAGCTAAGGTCGGGCCTCATATAGATACTGCTGGAGGAGTAAGATGAGTCAAGGAAGGCAGAAATTCAAGTAAGTGGCCAGTATCAGGGTTTGCTGAAGTCTGGAGGACCAACTTGAAGAACAGGGAATAAACTCCTACTTTACCGGATAGCAAAGCCTCAGGCTAAGAATTTGTGCGGAAGATCCTGCTTTGCAAGCTTGTAGCATTGTTTTGCATACTCTCTCTTCCACCCAGCAGAATAGTCTTTTTAAAATGGCACTGTTGTTCTCTGAGCATCAGTATAAACAACAGCTGTGTGTAATCCTACTGGTCAGTATGCAGCAACATGGGTTGCTTAGGGCTATTCTGTTGGCTTCTGTATCACTAGTTATTAAATATTTTGAAGATCACTACTGGGCATAGAAATTTTGGTAAAATTTCTATCAAGGGCATCAACTACTCTGCTGTTCAGTGTCTTCATATAAAGATTTACACAATAAATTTCACTTGGCATTCAGAACTCAAGATGATAAATAACTATGCTGTAGTGTACAATTCCAATTAACGTCAGCACTGTGGTCACCAGAACTGTCAGTTTCTCTGGGTGGCAGTGACTATTGACAATTTGTCTTGGTTTCCTGGATGTCACCCAGTACACTGGCCAAAAAGGCCGAAGAAGGCATCTGTGTTATATTTCAACTTCCTTCTTGCCTCTTCCTTTTTTCTTCTTCTTCTTTTATTTGGACCTAAACTTTTGCTACTGAGCACATAAGTGCAGTGTTGGGAGGTTCCCTTATTGTTCATTTGTTCATTCCTCCAATAAGTATTATAGAGCTCCTACTGTATGCCAGGTACTGGATGCAATGGTGAGTAAAACCTGACATGGTGTGTGTCTTCACAGAGTTTAGAGTCTAATAGATAGTTAATGGCAGAATAAGCCAAGAAGTCATGTCCCCACTTATTGCTTTGATCTCATCCCTGTCCACTTCCCTTTAACTTTGTTTGGTCAATTATTTTCCTTTTTTACGGTTTCAATCTTTTCTAATATATGATCTCCCCCCCACCCACCAACATGTCTTATCTCCCTTCTACTAAAATGATCATCATCTTATCTTCATTTAAATTCTTGATTACAATCTTCTCTGCCCGTAAACAAACTTCACAAGCACGATAGCCTCACTCACTCTCCACTCACTTCTTAACTGTTTGTAATACTGCTTCAACCCCTACTTCTCTGGGTGGCCAGGTACATTGTGTATTATACACTGTTTGGTAAACTGAAGGTTCTTCTTTTCCATGCAGTGAGAAGCAGGAAAGCAAGACCCTTTAAATCTGTCAAACTTTGCCCCTGAAAGCCTTCCCTCAATTCACCCCAGCAAAAATGCTCCCTACAGGAAGCAACTTACTACCTATTTGGCCTTGGATAAGTCACTTAAGTTCTCCAGGCCTCTGTTGCCTTATCTGTAATATGAGTACATTGTACCCAAATCTCTTCCTGCCTTAAGAGTTTGTGGGTGTAGGAAATTAGATGGGGAAAGAGCCAATGGAAAGAGTGTCTCCAGTGTCTTCTGATCCTAGGTACAATAGGAAGGTGAGGAGAGAGCAAATTCCTGATAGCCCATTCTGAAAGGGTAGTTGTGGAGAGGGAGGCAAAGAGACCCCGGGGGGCAGTGATGAGGCTGGGCAATGGGGAACAGCAGAGGGGCGAAATAAACTCTTTCCTGGAATAATAGCTATAGACCCTCATGGAACAAGAAGCTATGTTCAGGCTCTGAGCTTGTGAACCCAGGATGTGCAGAGTTTGAAGCACATCCTTGACATGAGCTAGCTCCACGAGTGGAAACATGTACATCTTTCCCAGTACGAAGATACACATAGTACAAGCACCAACTATCGTGGTTAGTTGAATACATCAAATTTCTCTATGAGAAAATGAGTGCCTTGAGAGGAGGGAGCCTCTTTTTTCTGTCTTTATTGCTTCCCAACATTGTAGGAAGTAGGCATCCAGTTTAGTAAATTAAGCTGCTGAATATTCTCAGATTTTATTCTGAGAAGGGAAATTCTGAGAGTGATTCAGAGTGATTGATTCATTGGATTATTTTAGCACTGATGTTTGTATTTCAGATATTCTACTTATATGGAACCTTTCTTCATTTATTTACTTGTCTCATTTGTTATGTTTCTTCTAGAATACAAGCTTTTGAAGACACAAGTTGTTCCCCCTGCATCCCCCAACATTTAGAATAATGCTTGCCAAATAGCAGGCTCTCTTAATAAATATTTCATGAATGATTGTATGAATGAACCCCTGGAAAAAAGCTCTCTACTTATGATTCTTGTATCTGAAAACTTAGGGCCTGCCAGCTTACCTTTATGACTGAGGAAGTGTAGCTAGTAATTTCCCCTTCTCTGCTTTATCGTGCTTTCTTCCTGCCTAAGCTTCAGAGTTTGGGCAGCCCTAAAGAATGGGAAGGAAGGATGAGTGTGTCTACCCCATTAAGCTGAGAGAGTGGACTTTGTTACCAGGTAGCTACCTGGAAATTCCACATTACCTACTTGAATCTCTGTGGTCTGCAGCTCAGTGGTGAGTGGGAATGCAGGGAAGGCTTGTCAGGGAGTCACCAGCTCCACATGAGGTGCGCACGGCTCCACAGGGAGGATTCCCTCAGGAGGTCCTGCCTGGGGACTCTTCAGCAGGGCACTGATGAGTACCACCATGAGCTCTCACCTAGGATCAGCTGCTTGGGCAAAGGCCTGCTCCTCAGCACCAGTTGCTGGTAGGTCCCATCTTCATGGGAAAGCTCACAGTCATCATTGGTCAGCAGAGACAAGAAATTATGCATTGGTGTAGCAATAGCTGTTAGTTGCATCAGTCTATAAAGGTGCAGAAGTGTGGGTTCCTCTGAAAGCCAAACCTCATGGAAACCAAGGGCCGTTGGCTTTATGCTGGACAGAAAGTTCTACCCTCAGTGGGCATGCAGCCTGGTAGAATCCACAACCTAACTATGGTGGAAAGGGTGTCACTCCTAGTAACAACTCCTGTAGCTCTCCACTGCCCTAGGCATGAAGAGGGTAAAGGTCATTTTCAGTGGCCTATGCCTTCCCTCTGTGACACTCACCTCTTTCAGTGTCTACCCCTAAAAGAGAAAAACCCATCTGCTTGATTGAATTCATGATACGTCTAAGGCATGTATTATCTGTTCTTCCTCCTATGAAGTACTTGACTTCCAAAAAAAGATTGCTCAAATAATTAACAATTATGCCCTTTGATTTGATAACCTCCTTTGAGGACTTGTCCAAGCAAAGACTCCAAAAGCAAGAGGGAGGAGAAAACACCCAAAATTTTCAATAATAGGGATTGGTGAAATCAATACAACTGGATACTATACAACCATTAAACACTAAGAAAGTTGAGGCATATATACAAATCTATAAGAAATATTGAAAAAGGAAACTAGAACTTTAAATAGTTTATGCACTAACTACATGTCTGATTATGATTTGTAAAAGTATGTGAATTTCTATACACTGATTAAGTGTTCTATACCACTAGCTCAATGCCTTGCATGTACAGTTGACCCTTGAACAAAGCAGGGTTCGAGGAGCTGATGTCCTATGCAGTCGAAAATTGAAAATAAACTTTTGACTCCTCAAAAACTGAATAGCCAACTGTTGACTGGAAGCCTTACCAATAATATAAGCAGTCAACACATTTTGTATGACATACATATTATATACTGTATTCTTACAGTAAAGTAAGCTAAAGAAAACATTTTTTCAAATTGTTGCAAATCTCAAAAAATTTTCCCAATATATGTATTGAAAAAAAACCATATGTAACTGGAACTGCTCAACCTGACTGCTCAAGGGTCATTTGTAGTAGGTAATGTAGTAATGTTTATTAATGAGCGAAGGAAGTGAAATTTAGAGAAATTTAGAGAAATTTAGAGAAATTTAGTTAAATTTAGAGAAAAGCTTGGACTTTATATTCATCAGATTTCTTTTACTGTACAGCTGATTAAAGATATAACAGAAGAGCTTTTAAAAAGAAGATCATCTTTCAATTTCATGTACATGAAAAGAAAGGAGGGAAATACCAAAATGTTAACAGTAGTGATGTCTGAGTCATGAGCTACAGGTAATGTCTGTTTCTATTTATCAAATTCTCTGTGTTCTCAATTTTCTACAATAACCATAATCAGGAAGAAATGATTTGTTCAAAGGATCATCCTGAGATAGCAAGTTACAAACCCAAAGGAATGAATCTCTGTTGTTGAAATTGCAGGCACTATGGTAAGCTTAGAGGTGGATACGTCTGGCATCTCCACACAACACAGGCCACCACCAACCCAGTCCTCCTACGTATACAACTGCTTTGGCACTCAGACTTCACAAGCAAGAAGCAGATACTACAGCAAGTCTGACTGAAGCCTACATATGTTAGGGAGGCAAGCCTTTGTTTTATATCATGACTGCATGGGAAAATGAATGCTACTGTCATCTCAGAAGGGTGCAAAGAGAGTATTCACTGCAGTGAACTTTTAGTGGTGAAAAATTTAAAACAACCAACATGTTCATCATAGAGAATATAACCCCAAAAACTCAGATGTAAAAACCAAAGGAATGTTATGATACCTTCATTTTCTTAGTTAAGATTTGTATGCATGAGTAATGTTCACTTTAGGAGAAACAGGACAGTTCCTGAGACTAACAGTGTGAAGTGGTCATTCAGGAAAGGAAGATTGTCTTTTTAAACATGATCACACTTCATTGCCATTGAATACATTGGAGCTGCACATAACACTGGAGGATTCACCACCCAGCATGAAGCAAGATGAGGGTGCTAAATACTTGGTTCTGAAAAGTGTATTAACTAATGAAGAACCTGAAAATATCTTAGAAAATAACTGCTGCATAAAGTATAGGAAACAAGGGAGACCAGGCAGAGAGATCAGAACTCCCGGTATCTGATAATGGAACAACGTGACATAGTAAGTTATTTGACTTAAAAAAAAAAGCAATAAACTTCCTGGGCAAAAAGTGTTACTTACTACCCGAACAACAGCTTAGGGGGTACTGGAATTGAAAGAATCCCTAAGAAACTTAATTCAAAATCAGAATTATTTGGAGACAAAAACCATTCAATTTGTTTAGGGACAGCTAATTTAACAAATAATACTTTCAAATTACTAAAAAAATTTATAACATGTTCCAAACTAAACCCAGTGCTTATACAATACTTACTTCTATGTAATACCGCAGAGGATAGTAACCTTTAACAGAATTTAGATGGAGTTTAAACAAAGCAGTGTTCTGAGTAAAACTCAAAGTAAAGCATGGCTGTGTATAAAAGGGTCAACTCCAGACTAGACCACAAAGTGGACCCAGAGTCCTGTGCTTTGGAAACAGTAGGATTAAGATAGACGCAGAATGTCCAGAAACCCCGTTATCTAAAACTCTATGCGTGGGTTATAAATCAAGGCCACATCTCTGTCAAAAAGGGCTTAGATTTTCCAGGCAAGAGAAGGATGCTTCATTCTTACTCACATAATTACAAACACCAAAGTTTCTGTATCTATGATTGTAGAAAACAAAGTTTCTCATTGAGTAGGAAAGCAGTCAGTCACTAGAAGAAGGCTGCTATTATGACACTTTACAGCTGCAGTATGTCCTTAGGGGACATTGCATCCTGTTAACTGTGCAGCTGGCTTTATCTGTGCCTATTCTTCTAGTCTGATGAACGACGGCTGAGTGGATTTTTACCTACTTAGTTTGAGCTAATTTTTACTTTCTCATGGGAAATCCTAAATGCTGAACACTGTGCTAAGTGCTTTGCATTCATTATTTCATTTAATCTTTGCAACAATCCTTGCTAGCATCCTGTTTTACAGATGAGGACACTGAGGCTTGGAGGTATCTAAAGTTGTTTCTTCAAGGTCACACAGCTAGCATCAGAGCCATTTCAAACCCAGGTCTCCTAACTCTAAACCTAGTCTTTGTAATATCTTTACTTCAAACAAATGTAGAAATTAAAGACTATTCAAAGAAAGAGTGACAAAATTCATTTTGTGGGAAAGTGGCAGGTTCATGCACTATAGGTAAGACTGTAGATTGGAACAATTTCTCTGGAGGTGTGTTTGGCAAATATGAAGTATAAAATTTTAACCATATACCCTTTGAGCCAGCAATTAATCTAGGAATTTAACCTAAGAAAATAAATTTCAAGCTGTGTACAGAGGCATACATTAGAATTACAGCATTATTTGTAAAAATAAACACACAAACAAAAAAACAGAAACAATGTAAACATTTTCAGTAAGGGATTGGTTAATTAAATGGACAAAGAGACATACAGCACAAGAGTATTCAGCCATTTTAATGATGAAAATAGATTGTATGGTTAAGGATACCAGATTATCAATTAGCATTTATGGTGGTGTTCCTTTATGTAAAATCAAATGCCTTACTATATTTATATGTGCAAACATACAATGCATAGAAAGGTGTTCACAATGTTTTTCTCTGGCTCAATAGTTTTGTTTTTTACTTCTTTTGAATATTTTATGAATTTGTTTCATTACTACAAAATAAAAAACTATTTGAAAAAAAGAATGTCCAAGTTAGATCAGTTCTTGCTTCAGTAACTGGAATGATTTCATGTATAATAGCCAGATGTCTTATACAACTGGGAATCTATTGTGCTGTGGAGAAAATTAAACAGGCATGTTATAGATCCTTGTCCTATAAAGTATGTTTCTATTCTATCAAAGGATTATTATTAATGTGTGTATTATTACCATATGGGCCCTTATTAATGTATGGACCTGGATTAAAACCAAATCTATCTGGGTGATAAAAGTTAAATGTTGACTTACATTTTCATTTAAAAAATCCCTTCAAAGCACTTTCATCTAATTGGAGTCAGTTCTACTTGTTGATTGACATTGTACTTTGGGAGTAAATGAACTTACATTTAAATAGCTGAAGTAAATGGATTTCAGAGAGGTTGCTGTGGAGTTCAAGAAGTAAACCTTACTAATACATTTTTTGCCCCAGCATACATTTTTCCTGGGGTGAGGGTTAGTTGGAATTAAGGAAGTGCACCCATTTAGGAAGAGTAGATGGAGCCAGAGGGATGTTGAAAATGACTAGAGAAAATAAGACTAATTGGGAGAAATAAAAGTGAGTTATGGGCTCATGAAAAGTTGCTCTACATCACTAATCATCATTTACAAATGTAAATCAAAACGAGATACCACCTTACACCCATTAAGATGGCTACTATCAAAAAAACAGAAAACAGCAATTATTGGTGAAGAGGTTGAGAAACTGAGACCCTTGTGCACTGTTCATGGGAATGTAAAATGGTTCAGCCACTGTAGAAAACAGTATGGAGGTTCCTCACAAAAGTTAAAACTTGAATTACCGTGTGACCCAACAATTCCACTTCTGGGTATATCCCAAAAGAATTCAAAGCAGGGTCTCAAGGGGGATTTGTATGCCCATGTTCATTGCAGCATCATTCACAATAGCTAAAATGTGGAAACAATCAAAGTGTCCATCAATGGATGAAAGAATAAGCAAAAGATGGTATATGTATACAATGGAATATTATTCAGTCTTCAAAAGGAAGGAAATGCTGCAATATGCTACAACATGGATGAAACTTGAGGACATTATGCTAACTGAAATAAGTCAGTCATAAAAAGACACTCTGTGATTCCAGTTATATAAGGTACTTAGAGTAGTCAAAATTATAGACAGAAAGTAGTTTGGTGGTTACCAGATGCTGGGGGAGTTATTATTTATGCGGTATAGAATTTAATAAGTATTGTTTAATAGGTAAAGCAGATAGAAAATTAATAAGAGTTATGGAGATGGATGGTGTGTATTATTGTAACGGCTATACAACAATGTAAATGTACTTAATACCACTGAACTGTATATGTAAAGGTGGTTACAATGGCCACTTTTACATTATATATATTTGAACACAATTAAAAAAGTGGATTATAAAGCAACCAAAGTGTCCATCAATAGATGAATGGATAAAGAAGACATGGTACATATACACAATGGAATATTATTCAACCATAAAAAAGAAGTCCTATTGTAACAACATGGATGGAAATAGAGGTTAGTATGCTAAGTGAAATAAGCCAGGCAGAGAAAGACAAATACCATGTGATTTCATGTATTTGTGAAATATAAAAACAAAACAAGACAAAATGAACAAAATAGCAGTACACTCATAGACACTGACTGGTGGTAACCATGGGAAGGGGTTGGGATGGGTGGTGGGGAGGGTGAGGGGGATAAAGGGACACAAAAATTCTCAGTTGTCATATAAGTTGGTCATGGGCATGGTAGTACATCATGGAGAATATAGCCAGTAACTCTGTAACATTTTCCTATGTTGACACATAGTAACTGTGCTAGTTGGGGTGAGGATTTAATAATGTGGGTAACTGTTGAACCACTGTGTTGTATACTTGAAACCAATATAAGATTGTATATTGACTATACTGCAGTAAAAATAGTGGATTATAACTGTTTTTGCAAAGTAAGACACTCCTTAGTTAAGAAGGAGTGTCACTCTAGAAAGAGTTCTTTCTTTAGCATCTGTGGATGGTTACGGCAATATAAATGATACCTTCAGTTTCATTCATCATTCAACAAAATCTTGGGACTGCCTGTCCTGAGAATGTTTTAAAGTTAATTAAGACACTGAGCCATAGAGTGGTGGTGAGGGGAAGGTGGGGTCCTGGAAGGAGATGCAGGAATTAGTAACAGTTGGAAGCTATGGAAACAAATGAAGCCAATCTAAGTGAGAGGAAAGGAGGCAGAAAACCGTTGAGGATACCCACATTTTATGGTTTTGTGAAAAAGGAGCATTGAGGAAAAGTGCTAGCAAAGGGAAGGTCAGAAAACAGAGAGAAAGGAGGAGGATGTAGAAGACAGGGGAGGAGAAGAGAGTTTTAAGGAGTTCACAGTATCAAGCACTGTAGAAAGCCTACATGATGGGAGGACTGGAGTGGCCACTGGATCTGGCAATCAGCAGAACAAAAAGTATAGCCCCAGCAAGGAACAGAGTTATCTGTATAGGTGGCTCATTTATAGGCACCTTCACTGTCTTGCCAATGGGTTTCAGCCCAGGGCAAGGTCACTATGGATTCAATATGACAAAAGAAATGACAGTAGAACATTCCTGGGGTGAAAGGGTTATACCCAGCTTTATTTCCACAACGGCGGGTTAATCACTAAAATACCATTCACTCAGAGTGAGTCTGCATGCAGGAAGCCAGTCCCTGCCTCTGGGCCTCTCTGCCTGCACAGCCATCCTCTGGGCCTCTGTCTTCGGCGCTGCCACTGCTCTGCTCTCCTGCAACCTTGCAGCCATGCCACCGTGTCACCCAGAGCACTGGGCAGGGCTTTGTATATGGAGTAAATAACTGCATTGCCCATACGTGTGTAGTGAGCTAGCCAACCAGGGCCAGGTGAGAATCCTGGCCACAGGAACCTTCATTTTATCCACATCCACACACGAGTCTGAACTGGACTAGTCTGGGAGGTAAGTCCTACAGAAGGGAGCTCAACTGGTGAATAAACTGGTATAGCCCTGGGAGTTACCCGCTGTTATTGGTGGGGGGGCTGTTGGCGGGGAATGGATGACTCTGCAAGTAGTGAGATCCTGCTAGACTAGGTGAGGCCAAGATCTAATGAAGTACACCTAGGGCCCCAGTAACAGGTCTTTGACAAGAATCAGCTGAGTGAATATATAAATGATAAATGGATGGATATATGAATGAATGTGGGGTGTGAGCTAAAGATTGCTTTATGAGCAGGACAGGAAGAGGAGGATAATCAAGTGTATGGCAGTAAATGATAGCAGAACTGCTCCCAGAAGTTGCCTACTGCCTCAGAGAGGTACCAGGAAGGTTGCTGTTTTCCAGACAGTCAGGTGAGAAGGGGTGTGAAGGGTTTAAGGATGTACAGAATTTGCTTCAGGACAGGAAACACTGGAGAGAAACAGCAGAAAATGTTGGGAGACAGGAGCAGCAGGTCAGAATTGAGATAGGGGAAGAGAGCTAACAGAATAAGGGTGCAGAAAGGGATAGATGTTTGCTTCACAGAGCACTTCTGCAGCCAGAGAAACATTCATCCTTAGGGCGACCCGGGGGAGACACAGGTATTCTACTGTCAACCGCTGGAATGAAGGATGCTTTCCAGATAAGGCCATCATCGCTCAGAAAGTCTGTTCAGCAGCTGTTTGATTCCTCTAATGACAAGGAGCACTCTACTTCTGGAAGTAGTATTTCCATTACAGAATAAAAAAAGCGGGTAGACAAGAAGAAAGGTGTGGGCCCCTTGAGGGGAAAGCTCTGTCAAAGACAGACATTTTAGGTAATTCATAGAATGGCAGAGCCAGACATGTCAGTCAGATCTTTTCATCTATAAAACAAAGGGGGCAGTTGATCTTTCTTTTCTCTTGTCTAACAACCTGTGAAATCGTCTAGGTAACAACCTCCCAATTTTACAGAATAAAAAACGAGGCCCGCGGGATGCATCTCGCTCAAAGTAATACAACACATTAGTGGAGGGGCAAGCTCTCCTCAGGTGTACTGGGCTTCTCGCCGCTCCACCACCTTTCCTGAAAGAGAGCGGTGGGGAGCTGCAGGCCGGGCGGCCTAGCCGAGAGCACCCTGGGCTCGAGGCGGCTTCCCAGCTGCAGTCAGAGGAACGCCCCGAAGGGAGGGAAGAGAGGGCCTCCTTTCCCACACTTCGTTGGGACGCCGACCGGGGCGGGACCACCGCAGCCCTCTTTCGGGTGGGCGGCCGGCAGAGGGCGCGGGGCAGCTCCCCGCTCCGCCGCCCTACAGGCGGACAGCACGCTGCCCCGGGCGCGCCGTCGGAGCTCGCGGGCCCCGGGCAGCCGAGGCTGGGCCGGGCGCGAGCGCGCAGGGGCAGCGTGGCAGGCGGGGCGGTGGGGAGCGAGCGAGCGGAGCGGGGCGGGGCGGGGCGCGGAGGGGGCGGGGCCGCGAGCGGGGGGCGGTGGCGGCGGCCGAGGAGGAGGAGGAGGAGGAGAACATGGCGGCGGCGGAGAGCGGCTGAAATGCCTGTTCTTCAGGCCAGGCGAGCGGCAGTCTGACGCGATTCGCCGAGCCCTCTCCGCAGACGGCTGGACCGCGGTCTCGAGCGCCTCGGCGCCCTGTTCCCTGGTGCTCCTTCGAGCGGAGCCTGCGCCGGGTTCGTCCTGCATCCCCCTGCGGAGGGACCCCTTGCGGAGGAGGGGGCCGGAGAGCCGCGGCGGCGGCGCGCTCCCGGCCCGAGAAGCAGCGGAGGCCGCAGAGGCAGCGGCGCCACGGTCGCGGGCGAGCGCGGCGCCCGCCAGCGCGGCCCAGAGGAGGCGACGGCAGGTGAGTGGCGGGCGGCGGGCGCCGAGCCTCCGGGTGGGTGCAGCTGTCACGAGCCGCGCGGCCGCCGCGGCCCTAGGGGGCGGGGAGCAGCTGGAGCCCCCCCCCCGGCCCCCGCTCTCCTTTCTCTCCGCTCGTCTCCCCTCCCACTTTCCCCGAGTTCTGCCGCGGCCTCGCGCGGCTGGAGGGGGCGGAGGTCGCAGCTGTCACGGGCACCAGCTGGGGGCTGCGCCCGCGGGGGGCAGTTGCTGCAGCAGCGCCTCGTCTGCCCCCTTTCCCAGTTGCCCTGCCCTAGTTAGCGCGGACGGGGCGAGCATCCGCGGAGGGTGCGGGAGGCTCGCGGCTGCCCGCCCGGCGTGGGACAGGCGCCCCCGGCCCGGCGCTCCCCGTTGCCGCCGCCGCCGAGAGGGGGAGCCGGAAGTCGGCGCGGGCGCCCCTCGGCCTGGCGAGCTCGGTGACCTTGGCAAGCCGGCTTACCTCTTCGAGTCTCGCTTGCCTGGACTGCGAAATGGGGATGACCATGGCGTGCCTTTCCGTAAGCGCAGCCTTCGACGGCGCTCCTATTGACCCCGGCACACTTGCTTTTCCTTTTCCCGACAAGGGATTTCAGGGGAAGAAATGGGATGGATAAGTGAAATTTTTCTGTTACTGCTAGGGTTTGGTCCTTTCCTAGGATAAGCTGGAGAATCTTTTAGCCTTTCGTGCTTGGCTCTCCTCGTTCATTCTAGAGGCATTGAGAGGCAGGTGTCCTTGTGGAGAAGGTGACTTTTTTCTTTTGAGAGGGTGAATTTTTAATGTCGAGTATGATGATGGTAAATGAAGGGTTCTTGAGTGAATTGCAGTCCCAGCACCCTCTGTTGATGCCAAGAGTAATCTCTGTGGTGATGATTTGTGAGGGTTGGGGCTTACACTTAAGTGATTAAGAAATCTTTTAAGTGTCAGTGTAAAACATTGCTGCCGTGAAGCTTAGATTAAACTGTACTGTTGAACGGATGGATTTCAGGGGTTAAATTTATTTGAGGTTTGTCTCCTCTTCTGGAATTGGTTGGAGGTTAGACTCAAAAAAAAGTTGGTCAAAGGGGCCTCTCAGCTTGTTTCACAGAAGCTATGATGTAGTAGGAAGGGGGTCAGATTTCTTCATGTTGTGAATAATGTGAAAAAGAAAGTATTTGCTTGGGTCTTTTGGCTCTTGAACTAGAAATAGTTTTGGGCTAAAGGTAGCAGTGGGGTTTGATTCAGCTTTAAAAAATGGGCGTTCTTTGAACTATTTGTTAGAAACTAGATAACAATTGGAAGTGTTTCTTACTCAGACTTTATGCTTTGGAAACAGTGAATCAAAAAGTGGGCCTGAATAGAGAATATATGGCTTGGAGAGAAAAATGGAAAGGTGCTACTTAAAAGAACAGGTGTTGGGTTTGATTTTTGTTGATAACTGTGCATTTCTTATTTATAACATTAACTCACAATAAAGTTCGATTTTTAAGGAGCAAAACTTGACTTTTATATAGTTTATAGTTAATCTATTCCCCATTTCTTTCTGAAAAAATCTGTAGGGTTATGTCTATTAAATTGCTTTTTGTGTGGCTTAAGCCAAGGGCGTCTTTTCAATCTGCATTTTTGGGTAATCGGTTTTATTTAAAAAAAGTGCTTGATGGAACTAATGGTGATTATTCCACTTAAACTGGGACTATAAAGACAATGCATTTTCCTCCCTCTTTTGCCAACATTTGTTTTTCTTCCTCAATTTTAGGGTTTCATTTCTAGAAATCTGGGCTGGAAGGAGAAAGAGCAGTTTGTATAATCCCAAGAACTCACTCTTGCCAGGAAGCTGCAAGGGTAGCGTGAAGTGGGTGTGATATGAAGACACTGCTACTGTTTAAGACATGTAATTGTTGAGAGAGTCTAGGGTCAAACTTTAATTTTTGTTGAATTTCCTGTTTTCTGTGTATGTGCTAATCTTTTGGTGGGCAGAGGATTGGGTTGCTATGGTGCTGACTGGTATGTATTATGAAAGCATTGGCAAAATGTCTTGCTTTTTCTCTATAGGGAATAGAGGTAAACAAGCCTAAATAATTTAAAGATGTTGTTCCCAGGATGGAATGTTCTCTGCATGTACTCTTGATCCTGCTAATCCAGGGATCGGTCTTCACCAGGACTAAATGTTGAGTAAGTGATGAGGGTGATGTAGAGGTGCTGAAAGATGGAGTAGGGGAGAGAGGATATGGGTCATTCCTTGACAATCTTTTCTCTAATGGACTGTATGTCACAATATTTCGAATTGTTTTAAAAGGATATTTCAGTCCTCCCTTCTCTGTTGTCATCAATTCACATTCCTTTTCTTAGAGAGATACTACCTTAGGGGCAGGTGTGGGGGAGGTCAGTACAAACACACATATTGCTGAGTAGAATCCCCTAAGTCTTGCAGAGTACGAAGAGATCCCTAGATGCTCATTATTGTCTTGGAAGCAATTTTTGTCTTCTACATATAATAATCACAGGAACTCTCAGAGGGCCATCAGCTGCTTTCCTGGCAGAGGTCCAGAACTTGTGGTTGGCTTCTTTTTACATTACCTGCAAATATTTGGTGCAGAGGGCCATGTGGAGTTGGGTGAAAATACATGCATTTCAGGACTTGAATGATAGAGTACTATATATCCAATCTGGGTTGCAGAGTCATACACATTTCTCCCCACCTTGTACAACTTTCCTACCCATTTGAACTGACTAGACTGTAGGAAAGAACTCTCTCTCCCAGGTTAAGCACTGACTCAGCTCTTGGTCACTGGTCACTGAGGATGGGCCTTGTGTCGCTGACCTCTTTTCCTCCCATTGGAGGTGAGGTCTAGTCATTTCAAACCTTCTCTTCTCCCTTCTTTATACTTTATACTTTGTGCCTTTCTCTTTATCATATGGGGTCAGAGGTCATAAAATGGCCTAGTGGCAACTGAGTACTGTTCCTTGGTTGCGATGTTTAAGAAGGAAGTGCAGATATTTTTCTTTAGTTCTGGACAGTGTTTTATGGGTATGCTATATGTGGATTATAGATACTATAATATAGAATATAGAAATGATTAATTTATATTTCCGCATGATACATGGTTGAATAAAGATGAATTATTACAAAACCCTGATGCCAACATATAAGTACAATTCTGAAATGCAGATTTCTTCCTCAATTTTAGGGTTTCATTTCTAGAAATCTGGGCTGGAAGGAGAAAGAGCAGTTTGTATAATCCCAAGAACTCACTCTTGCCAGGAAGCTGCAAGGGTAGCGTGAAGTGGGTGTGATATGAAGACACTGCTACTGTTTAAGACATTTAATTGTTGAGAGAGTCTAGGGTCAAACTTTAATTTTTGTTGAATTTCCTGTTTTCTGTGTATGTGCTAATCTTTTGGTGGGCAGAGGATTGGGTTGCTATGGTGCTGACTGGTATGTATTATGAAAGCATTGGCAAAATGTCTTGCTTTTTCTCTATAGGGAATAGAGGTAAACAAGCCTAAATAATTTAAAGATGTTGTTCCCAGGATGGAATGTTCTCTGCATGTACTCTTGATCCTGCTAATCCAGGGATCGGTCTTCACCAGGACTAAATGTTGAGTAAGTGATGAGGGTGATGTAGAGGTGCTGAAAGATGGAGTAGGGGAGAGAGGATATGGGTCATTCCTTGACAATCTTTTCTCTAATGGACTGTATGTCACAATATTTCGAATTGTTTTAAAAGGATATTTCAGTCCTCCCTTCTCTGTTGTCATCAATTCACATTCCTTTTCTTAGAGAGATACTACCTTAGGGGCAGGTGTGGGGGAGGTCAGTACAAACACACATATTGCTGAGTAGAATCCCCTAAGTCTTGCAGAGTACGAAGAGATCCCTAGATGCTCATTATTGTCTTGGAAGCAATTTTTGTCTTCTACATATAATAATCACAGGAACTCTCAGAGGGCCATCAGCTGCTTTCCTGGCAGAGGTCCAGAACTTGTGGTTGGCTTCTTTTTACATTACCTGCAAATATTTGGTGCAGAGGGCCATGTGGAGTTGGGTGAAAATACATGCATTTCAGGACTTGAATGATAGAGTACTATATATCCAATCTGGGTTGCAGAGTCATACACATTTCTCCCCACCTTGTACAACTTTCCTACCCATTTGAACTGACTAGACTGTAGGAAAGAACTCTCTCTCCCAGGTTAAGCACTGACTCAGCTCTTGGTCACTGGTCACTGAGGATGGGCCTTGTGTCGCTGACCTCTTTTCCTCCCATTGGAGGTGAGGTCTAGTCATTTCAAACCTTCTCTTCTCCCTTCTTTATACTTTATACTTTGTGCCTTTCTCTTTATCATATGGGGTCAGAGGTCATAAAATGGCCTAGTGGCAACTGAGTACTGTTCCTTGGTTGCGATGTTTAAGAAGGAAGTGCAGATATTTTTCTTTAGTTCTGGACAGTGTTTTATGGGTATGCTATATGTGGATTATAGATACTATAATATAGAATATAGAAATGATTAATTTATATTTCCGCATGATACATGGTTGAATAAAGATGAATTATTACAAAACCCTGATGCCAACATATAAGTACAATTCTGAAATGCAGGTAGAGTGGGTGGTTTTATGCTTGCTTCCTTCCCCACACCCCCTATCTACAACACAGTATTTCTGAGGCTTCTTGAAGTGATAGGCTTTTAGAAAAGTTTAATATAGTTATTATATTTTGAAGACAAATACCTTATGCCAAAACAGAAGCTAGAGTTGCTTGAGGAGGTATGGAAGACTTGAAATTAATTAGCCTAGTCACCCTCATTTTAGATATATTTTGATCTGATCTACCCTCGTGGTTGTGTTTCAGTGGGGAGGGCAGAGAAGTTTGGCTTCACTAAGAAGTACTGGACCTGGCTGGACCATTGGGAACAGACAGATCTCACCGATAGCAATAGGTGCAAGCACAGAAGTGAGATACAACACTAACAGGACCAGAATTCTAACACTGTATTATCCAATGCTTCCAGAGTGATGTTTCATTTTTGGCCTTCTGGCTTAGAATTTTGAGGCAATTTTTAAGCTTCTTTCAGATAAGGAGGTTTGACTTTAGACAAGGAAGATTTCATGGCTCTATACAGAGACTTAGTAGATGTAGTCTCGGGCTAGTTATGTCACCACACTAAACCCCAGGTTTTCATGTTTAAAATTGAAATAATGTGATAAGGAAAATATTCAACACAGCCATCAAGGTCAGTAAATCGCTTTTTTCCTCCGGTTGGCAGTCAGCAGAGCACCCCCAGCTCTCTCCTCCCCTCCTTCTCTGGGCTCCTCTTTTGTCCTGCGCATGCCAAAATGCCACATATCAAAATAATATAAATTGCTCCTCTTGCGTGTGCTCAGGGCTCAGACCTTGGGAGATTACTCCCCTCTGAGTCCACCGTTGTAAAATAAAACCTCAACACTCCAAGACCTCCGAGTGCCGCTTGGTTCTCCGTTAGTAATCCAGTCCAGGTTTTCCAGTATTTTCTGTAACAAATGTACTTATCCTTATATTGTTGTGATCTTTAAATTAACTTACATTATGTAACAAGGCCTAGCATGATTACTGGCATATAGTAAGACTTCAATAATATTTTTCTGAATTTCCACAGCCTAACCCATCACCAAATTCTCTGATTCTTTCCTCTGCA